CAGTAAAACACAAAAAGGCATTTCTTCGGATACTCTCTGCTTTCAGTAAAGATTTTTTTGAAATCAGCAATGGCATCCCTTGTTCCATAATATCTACTGAATTAAACTTGAATCTCTCATAACTCACTATCAGTGTACAGCTGCTTAAGCATTTTTGAGTTATCTTTAACAGAACATTTCTTGTGTATGATATTGTTTAATAATTACTACGTTGTCTTTGAGTCAACTTATGTTAGAATGGGCAAAGCTATGTAAGTCCTAATAGGACTGACCTAGGAGAGGTCTTCCAGAGTTCTTGGCACAGACTGGTGTTTTCTACCGGTGATCCAGAAGCTTGCTGAAATGTGTCCATTGCTTTTCTGTCCATTTCTGGAGCCTTGCTGTTTACTAATGCCTTCAGGCAGCTTGGACTTCTTCCTTCAGTACCATTCAATCATTCATTCATTTTTTAAATGGAGTTCTAATTAACACATGCAATTCAATTTGTTATCCATTTGTCATCCTATGGTGGTCTGCATGTGATGCTGGCAATTAGATCACTGGTATTTCAAATTCCAGCAGTAGCATCCAGAGTGAAAAGGTTTCAGCAGGATTTCTAAATTAAGAATAGACTAAGAAGAAAGACTCGGCTATCCATTGCAGAGGAAGTAGCTGGTGACAACCGCATGCGCAGCATGGAAATACTGGCAGAGACTGACGGAAAGGAGAACCTTGTCAGAGACAGGGCCTGAGGACAGGCCCCTTGGGTTGGAAGGCATGCAAAATGGGATTGACGATGAGCTGCATTCTCAGAGTAAAGCCAACCACAGAGACTCAAATGAAGTAAGCCCTGTGGGAGTGACGCCCCCAGATCGTCATTTGCTGATGGGGCACGAGCCAAGGTAACAACGAAAGAACTGCAGAAATGTAGTAATCAGACATTGGAGTGTACGAAGGATGAATCCAGTAAAACAGGAAGTCCTCAAAAATGAAATGGAATGCATAAAGATCGATATCCCAGGCCCGTGTTAGCTGAACTAAACTGTTATTGGCCATTTAGAATCAGAAAGTTATTTGGTTTACTATCTGGGGAATAAAACAATTGAGAGGAATGGATATCTGAAGACCTATCTTAACCTACGATGCTGTTTCTAATAGGATTTCAACCAGTACAATCTTTAGTCAAATTCATGTACCAACCAGGAAAGCTAGTGATGAAGAAATTGAAGAATTTTATCAACATCTTCAGTCTAAAATTGATCAAGCATGCAATCAAGACAGTTATTAGTGATTGGAATGCAAAAGGTAAAAACAAAAAGGATAAATAGTAGTTAGAAAATATGGTCTTGGTGATAGAAACAAAGCTAGAGAGCAGATAATAGGATTTTGCAACAGCAATGGCGTTCACAGCAAATACCTTTTTTTCAAAAGCATGAATGGGGACTAAACACATGGACGTTTCCAGATGGAATCCACAGAAATCAAAATGACTGAATGTTTGGGAAGAGATGATGAAGTAGCTCAGGATCAGCAGCTAAAATCAGGTTAAGGGCTGACTGTGGAACAGAGTAGCAATTGGTCCTACGCAATTTCAGGTTAAAGCTGAAGAAAATGAAAACAGGTTCACAGAGCAAAATTGAGTCTATCCCACCTGAATTTCGAGAAGATCTCAAGAACAAATTTGATGCATTGAATATTAATGAGAGAAAGTCTGAGGAGCTATGGGAGGACATGAAGAATATCATTCATGAAGCAAGCAAAGGTCATTAACATGACAGGAAAGATAGAAAGGAGCAAAGTGGATGTCAGAAGACACTTGTTCTTAATTATAGAGTAGGTAAGGGGAAAAAAAGAAATTATGAACTCAAAAAGCTATTAGAAAACTTCAAAGGGCAGCTCAAGAAGACAAAGTAAAAAATTACAATGGAATGTACAAAGATAGAGTTATAAACCAAGAAGGAGGAACACGCTCAGCATATCTTAAACCAATAGAACTCTTGAAAAAGTTCAAGCAAGCCTCGAGTTGTAAAAATGAATGATGCAGGAAGCATCAAAAGATAGAAATAATTCACTGTCATTGAGGCTCCAGGAATTGAAGAAATACAATGGAAATGTTTCAAAAGCTGATGAAACACTGGCAGCCCTCAATGGTCTATGCCAGGACATTTGGAAGACAGCTACTTGGCCAACTGATTGGAAGAGATCCCCATTTGTACCCATTTCAAAGAGAGGTGAGCCATCTGAATGCTCAAACTATAGAAAAATATTGTTGATATCATACACATGTAAAATTGTGCTTAAAAAGATCATCCAACAATCGTTGTACCTATACTGACAGGGAGCTGCCAGAGACTCAGACTGGATTCAGAAAACAACGTGTAACAAGGGATATAATTCAGCCAAGGAATCTTGCTGATGGACATCCAGGATTAACGCCTTCAGTATTGATTACAATACAATGTAAAGAAGATCCTCACAACCAGATCGTAGGTAACATTGTGATAAATGGAGATGGAGAAGGGGTTCAAGTTGTCAATGATGTTCTCTTGCTTAGATTCACAATCAATTCCCATAGCACCATCAGTCAAGAGATCAAAGGAGGCATTAATTTGGGTAAAGTACAAGACCTCTTAAGCATTGAAAAGCAAAGATGTTACTTTGAGGACTATGGGACGCCGGACCCAAGCCATGGTATTTTCTATGGCTTCATATGGATGTGAAAGTTAGACATTGAATAGGGAGGACAGAAGAGGAATGGATGCATTTGAATTGCAGTGTTAGCAAAAATATATAGATTGGCAGTATCATGGACTGCCAGAAGAGCAAACAGATGTTTCAGAAGAAATATGGCCATAATGCTCCTTAGAAGTGAGCATGACAAGAATTTGCTCCCATAATCGGACATGTTGCCAAGAAAGGCCAGTCCCTGCAATAAGGAACTGTGTTTGGTCAACAGAGGGCCAGCGAGAAAGAGGAAGACCCTCAATGAGATAAACAGATACTGCGACTGCGACAATGAACTTAAGGATAACAGTTGTGAGAATCACACAGGATCAGGCAGTGTTTCATTCTGTTGTATAGTTCAAGGGCACCTAACAACAAGAAGACAAACATAAGGATTGATCCAACTTATATACAAATTCAACTTATAGGAACCTAACTTGTTTGTAAGCCAATGGCTGCTTTTAATGTCTAGTAGTACTATCTCCCTTACATTTGGAAATGTGTGGATGGACGAAACATGCTCACTCCAAGCTCAAATTGCTGTTGCTCTTCTTCCTAGCTGTGTGATCTGACAGTTCCCTCATCCCTCCAATTGCTTTGTTTTCATTACTGGGGAGCGTGTCACCAAGCCAGCAGGGCTGTTGTTGAGGTACCTGGTACAGAGAGCTGCAGAGACTTCTGACCTGTCTCTCCTCATTCTAGAACAATGGGCCACACTCACAATCTCATTTAAACATTAAAGTATCAGGTGACAGAGAGCATACCATTACCTCGAAAAGTGGAGCTTTATGTTTTAGGATATATATTAAGACTTTGGAACTAAGTTTCATAGGACTAGGGACCAGGTGCTATTCAAGGAAAATAATGTGATGGAAACAGGAGATAATTTTAATCCATGAACAAAATGTAGTCACAAGATAGGCCCCCAGGTTTCCTTATAATAACAGCATTTGATTACTACTACTAACCCTGTGCAGTTCTCTGATGCAACAGGGTCCAAGAGCCCTGTCTCTACTCTGATCTTTGCTCGCAAACTGAACATTTTATTCACATCTCTGTCTACCATTTGGTGGTACAAATGCTTTAGTGCTCAACTACTAGCCAAAATGTGGAAGTAGAACCCATCAAGAGGCACTGTGGAAGACAGGCCATCTGAACTTCTGGAAAAATGTCAGTCTTGAAAACGATACCATGTAGTTCTTCTCTGCACCGATAGGGTCACCATGAGTCAGAATTCAGTAAATGGCAAGTAACAAGGGCTTCCTTTCAACCCTTCCACTCTTCTTGACATTTCAGTCTAGGTTTCCACATTAGAAGGGCACTGCCCAAGGATACTCCCTGCTCGTGTCTCCAGCCACAGGCAGAGCGCATTATCAATGCAGAAGCCCAATGCCAAGATGCCACAGGATCACTCATCCAAATTGTACACCAGGCTGTTATAAATAGAATCCACTCCTTTGTCACATGTTTGCAACATTTACCAAGTGTTCCTCAGACAAGTTAGAAAACATGGCTTCCAAAGATGACAGTCTCAATATTATTTTCCGCTAACATTCCTTCTTTTCAACATAGTTTATTTACTTTCAGAATAACTATTTTGTAAAGAATTTTAAAATAATGGGGCAAATTCCAATAGCATCAGCTTAACATATATACATTAAGTATGTATATATACTTGCCATTACTGTATTTTTTGTTTGTTCTGACTTTAATATTTTATGACCTCTTTGTAGGGTCATAGAAACTTCAAAAAACTATGGAAGATATATTTTCACCAGTCAATGCAATGATTCACTAAGAGGCAACAATTAATTCAGAATAAAAGATGATTGATGATCATTTAAAGGAAAAATATCAAAAGTTAACCTCAGCAATGAAATATTATTAAAGCATATGATAAGTAGGCTTGTAAATTTTCAAAACATTTCAGAATGCAACTTTTAGGAAAATTTTCCTAAAAAAATTCTAAAATAAAATGTCCATATATTGTATTAACAAGGATTCAACTCCAAAGATGTTCTTGATCTTGAACTAAACAACTATAATTAAAAGCTACAGATCCCCAATTATAGTCCAGAGAAAAACCCACAATAGCAAAAGCAGGTCAAAAGCTAAAACTATACTACCATCCACAAATATGCTACCTTTTGTACCCATCCCCACTAAGGAATCCCCAAATCCAATCTAGCCTAGGTAAGACAGATGCGTATTTACTGCCTGTGTCAATAACCCTGAGTGTCCATGGGCTCAGGTCACTGGATCTTGCCAGGACATAGATCCCCTCCCCTTCTAATTACCGCATGGTGTAGAGCAGTGTGCCATCATCCTCCAGCCGCAGCAGCTTGTTGGGCGTGGTCATGTTGTGCGCAATGGATTTCTTCCCATTGTGAAAGAAAGTATCTGGGGTCCAGATTTTGCTTGCAAGAAGGTTGTTAAGAGGGAGGCGCTGCATTGGCCCTTTGAATTGAAGTCTCTCATCTTTCCAGCTTTGTCGGAAAAACACATCTATGGTATATTCCTAATGCAAAGGGAGGCACTGGTTACGGTGAGCGTAAGAGTTCCTTGGTGGGGAGCCCTTCACTGTCAAATGTACAGTTATGGCATGGGACCAGCCCGATACCTACCATTTCCGTGTCCGACACGGGGCCGAAGCTGGTAACGTAGATGTCAGTCCTCACCTGAGTAATTCGCTCTGAAACACAGATACAGCGTCCTGGCTGATCACACAGCACACAGTGAACAGAGCGGGCATTTATTTTCTCATTCTCATATACTTGCATCCAAAGGGCATCTATAATACCTTGGTAAGCCTGTACAATCTGATAAATGCCAAACTAAACCAATGGCTCTACACCATAACATGAAATAAAATCCCCACACCATAAAGACGTTGTCTGACCATCATTATACTTCTGCATCTTCCAGGAGTTGGCTAGAAATAAATATGGATTGGGCCCTGGTATGTGACTGAGAAATTTTCATAAACATCAGTGTTAAGTTCCTTGTCCTATAAACTGAGAACAGTATTAGAAGTCTCACAGTGTGTGCCTCTGTCTGCCCACAAATGAGTATTTTTGAAGGCATAGATAATTAAGGAGGGCGAGTGAAGCAAGACTCCAAAGAAAATGCAGGTAAAGATGTACAAGAAAGTGTTGACCTTGGGCATAAAAGACAAAAGTGGTCAAGGATGGAAAATCTACTTCATCTTACATATTTTATTTTATTTTGTGTTAATTAAAATTGTAGGAAAAATTAAAAAGTAAAAATTTGTTAAAACTATCAGGTGAAAGTGTGTGTATTCCCAGGGCCACAGAAAACCTTACAACCCTATTTAAGTTCCATATTCAGAATAATTAGCACAAGTGCCCAACAAACTACCCCAAATGGCTCCACAGTATTGCACACAATAGCCTGGGAGTGTTGCCATTGTATTTATATGATACATGTCTGAATAGATGTATGTGTTTATACAATGATCATTTCTTTCCATCCCTGTCACCCCATATTAGCCCATTTGTTCCTCTAGGATCCTCCGTATCCAGCTCATGGAGGACACACAACTCATGCAGCTGGATGAAAGTGTTGAATTAATGGAGGCTATTCCTCTCCCAGCATCTTGGTAGTGTTGAGAGTTACTATAAGGCATGCAACAGATCATACTGCTGGAGAGTAGATTTGAGAACATAATGAAAATGATGATGGAAGGTGATGTCAAGAAGCCTACTTAACTTTTCCTGTCAAAAACATGTAAAGGGTAATTCATACTATAATTGAATCACATCATTAAAAATACAAATACAAGATAAGAGTTAAATTTCTTCTTGGTTAATTATATGTAACCCAGGGTCCTTACTTATTGAACAGAGTAAATTCCAATATACTACAGTCAAGTTTTCTATAGTCAAGGGCATTATTTTCCTGAAAACTGAATTCAAGACTCAGCTACAAAATCAAGTTGCAAAAAGTGTGTACTGAAGTGCATACCACTAGCATTTTATTTCATCAACATTCAGACAACCGAAGTAAATACTATGATTATGACCCTAGTGAAGAGTTAAGCATATACTATACTATGGTGTAAAACTGCAACTTCATTTAACAATTTCTGAAAAGAACTCATTCAGATAAGAGAATATGAACTTGACTATATACCATTTCTTAACACAGGGTCTATTAGCTCTCTTAAGGCCAAAGAATGGGTTGGAGTTTTCTGTTTAAATGAACCAACGTATGTTTTAGAATTCAAAGATAACATAAATGATTGTGAATTTTAAGATTGTACATGCTCAGTAGTTTAAAGTAGTATTTGAATTTAACAGTAAGACTCAAATTATTTCAGCTAATACATGATCAGCAGAGAAAACATTGAAAGTATTTATTAAGTTTTATATGATGGATATAGGCAAAATAGGATAGAATAGGTTCTTGATGCTAAATTCTGCCCTACACAAAAAATACAATGCAGGAAAGCAAACCTTTGCCTATACTTGTATCTTAATCTCTTTGGTAATATATGGATTGTGCTCAATTGTTTTACTTAAAAATATCACATAGTCAGGCATCTGTAGCCAGGGATCCAACCACTGTTTCTATTTAGTCCTTTGTCAAAATATGAATTAATATTTCATGGAAGTTTGACTTGTTGAGTCCCAAACTACTTAGGATAGTTTTTTGAGATATAATACTTTTTCCAGGATAAGGAGTCCTTACACATGGAAAAGAATGATGAAGCTGAAGTTATTTATGGGATAGAAACAAACTTGATTTATTCATGATACTCTTTTGTGGGGCTCACTTTGGCTGCTGGAAAACTCAGTAAGCATTTTTTTATCTGAAGACCTATACGACATTTGAAATAATTAAATTTTTAAAACCTAATTTCTAAATGCTCATTCTTTTAGCAAGTCTATCTAATACAATTGGGGCAATTTCCTTATACATTCTTTGGATCACACACAAAGCCCTACTAGCAATGCACCAGAAAAATATGTTATCTTGCCTCAACCATTTGCCAAAATAGCCATTTGAGCTATTTCATTTTAGATTGTAAAATTAATGGTAGGGATACTATAACAATAATTATGTTTTTAACATAGCAACAAGTGCTATGCACTCTTAGTGCTTAATAAATGTTCATCATTATTAGACATTAAATAAGTAAATAAATGAAACAAAGTGGAAGTTAAGATTCTCTGCGAAAATGAGAATGTGCAGGGATATGTTAGAAAGACCCTGCTTATAGCTTCTTGCATTTGGGAAACAGTAATAAAGGATGCACAATCCCTCCTTTGGGTAAAACAGTTATCAACTCCAAATTCTCACAGGGAAACTATTTTTAGGAACCTAAACATACTCAATTCCTTGCATCCCAACAAACAACTTGACATGAAAGTTCCCTCTTTGGGCAGCACCGCCTTCTCGAGAAGAGCACACTCACCCCCAAGGCCAGGCCGCAGTCGGTTGTCGTAGCCGTCCAAGAGCCCATCCAAGATCCTGGTAAATATGGTGATGTTGTCCTTGGTCTCAGGTTTGACAGAATTGGTTGGCATTTGTGAAAAGCTTTTTAACAGGTAAAGAAAACAAACTTGCATTAATTATTCCTAACAAAACCATCTCAAGTCATCTTGTTTGTTCATTTTTAAAGCAAGCAATCCCATGGTCAGATTTTTTTTGGGGGGGAACAGCAGCTGAGAACCAATCTCCATTGTCCAGATTATTCTTTTAGACGGACCGTTCACTCTTGAATATCCAGGGAGAGTATTGGCTATGAGCGGGTCTTCTATCAACCTAATATGACAATAAAATTCTTGCTGTGAGCTCCTTGACTTTAAAGAACAGCTAAATCAGCATTTTAGCCATTAAAAATAATGACACGATCAATAGAATTACCTTATGTCCCAAGGGGATGATTTATGTTATCATAAAATGCTAATGGTCTCTAAAGTGAGCTAGGGACATATATAAACCATATATATATATGAATGGACTTTAAGCTCACACTTAATTCTAGCCCTAATCTAAACAATTTGTTCTGGTTTTTTGTATTGTAGACTTCTTTCATCTTATTGGGGGTTCTTACGGATCTTATAACAATCCATAATTCAATTGTATCAAGCACACTTGTTGCCATCATCATTTTCAAAACATTGTTTTTCTACTTGAACCCTTGGCATCAGCTCCTCTCTTGATCAATTATATGTTGTAATTTTATTTCATAGCTTTCAATATCTGCTGTCTCCCTTCACCCACATTTCTATTATTCATCTTCTTTAGTATGTGTGTGTGTGTATTATATCCAACCTTGTGATCAGTTCTTCCTTCGCACTTCTCCCTCCCCTCCCCCAACCCTCATGGTATCACTTCTCCCACTTCTGTTCCTGGGGGGTTTATCTCTCCTGTATTCCACGTGTCAAGAGCTCTTATCTGTACCAATGCATGTACTCTGGTCTAGCGGGATTTGTAAGGTAGGAATGAGGTCATGATAGTGGGGGTGGGGGGGAAAGCATGTAAGAACTAGAGGAATATTGTGTATAATAGCACTACTAAATACCCGCCCTCATTAGAGATCACTGGATGCTATAGCAAAGTGTGGTGAAGAAATCAGATGGTCCTTGGCTACCAGAAAGTATAGCATCTCGGTCTTAAAGGCTTGTCTTAAAACAAGCAGTCATCTAAGTGAGGCACCAACTAAAATCCACATGGAAAAAGCGCCCATGCTTGGGTGATCCAAGAATTATAAATAATAAAATATAAATCCAAAGGAAGAAATGGTAAAGGAACGTCAATTATGAACACCTGTTTCTAGAAGGCTATGAACGACACATTCATTTGCAGGGTAATCACCTAGATTAACCCTCCAGCAAATCACCTCCAACAACAGGTGTGTGAATATCCTTGCTATCACACAGAGAGCACTGTAAAGTGGATTATAGCAAATGTACTTAAGTTAAAATGTAACACCGTATCATTTGGTCTCCCTTTTGACCCATTTTAAAGTTGTTTCAGATTTTAATATTTTCTTTCTTTTTGACTGATTTTTTCCTCTGGTTTTTTTTTTGTGTCTTGTAATTATTATTGGGTTTGTTTATTTTCTAGCTTCATGTTTGTGTTTTGTATGATGTTCTGTATATGAAATTCAAAATAGGCAAATCTACATAGAGAGTAACTGGATTAATAATTATTGAGGGGCATGTCAGGTAGGTTGACGGAAATGAGGAGCTAACAACAATGAGTATGAGAAAGAAGAAAATATTCTGAAATTTATGGGTGATGATTGCACAAATCTTCTTAATATGCTTGAATGAGTAATGTATGGTGTGTGAATTATATGTCAATAAAACTACTAAAAATATCCAACACACAAGAACCTAATATACTTCTAAAAGATTTCCAAAGTCTGGTTTAAACACAGAAAAACTGAGTTCATTTGTCTTGGAAGCTGAATTGTTGAGGGTATATTTAAAACATTAAGCAAATTAAAAAATACAGGTAGTGCCTTAGAATGCATTGTATAGTCTTAATAAAGTCCTGAAAATATAGGATGTATACAAGTCTAATCACTTCCTGAGTTATGAAAAAGCACAGAACAGATAAAGAAACAGGGGGAATTTGGGTTCCATGTGCTGACCTGTCTACCAAGCAAAGTAACAGCAAGGATTTCCAGCAAACACCAGAAATGAAAACAGAGGGCTACAGAAAGAATTAACAGTGGGTAAAGACCTGACAAGGTTTTATGGTAGTTACATAATCTCATGTCAACTGGAGGGTATTAAGAGGGAGGGGTGGAGTTAAGCCTGCCAATCAAGTCACAGCCTGATGATGCCTCCCAGTGGGTGTGGCATTCTCCCGAAGATTCTCAGGGCTTCCTCTCTCTCTGTCTTCATCTTCCTGGCATCAAGAAGTAACAGCTTATTGATGAGCACCAACTTTACTGTAAGTATAACCGAACAGTTTGTAAAGTGAAAAATACAGGACTTATGTTCATGGTGACAGAAATTAATAAATGTGTAAAATTTGTGAAATATATTTTGTGTCACACAACTGTGAGCACAGAGGTTGTAAGTGCTGTAAATCTTTTAATCCTCATATAAAACTTTTATTAAGGTTTATTCAGAGGACAATTTTGATCGATGACAAGAAAACTGGTGCCGTTGTGTGACCTGACATACCAAAGTCTGGTAGATGAAATAAAACTCCTCAGGAAAGTATTATTTACCCTCCAGGAAATAAACGCATGGAAGGCACTGGAAAGTGGATGGTGACAGTGATAACTAGGTTAGAATCTAACACCTTATCATTTGCTCTCCCATTTGGCACATTTTTGAAGTTGTTCTACTTTTTATTATTTTCTGTTTTCATCCCAACTGGGGTTTTTCTTTATGGTGTTATTGTTGTTAGCTTTTCCAACTCATTGTTTTGTATTTTTGTATGTTTTTCAGTACATGACGTCCAGAATGGGTGCATTTATAGAGAGAGGAACTAGATTAATGGTTCTTTGGGGTATGGTAGGGGAGGTTGGGGTAAATGTGGAGCTAATAAGAAGCACAAGAGAAAATAAAAGGTTCTAAAACAGATTTTATTTATGATTGTATAACACTGCTTGACATGACTGAACTATTGAATTGTATTATATTTGAATTGTAACCCAATAAAACTTGTATGTTTATAAGTAAGTTAGTAAATAAATACCACATTGAAAAGAATGAATATGAGGAGAAGAGACATGGAGATGACAGCCATGGGGAGTGGAACCCACAACCATGAAGCAGCCAGCTGTCACCCGAAGCGAGGAGAGAAACATAGAAGAGCCCTCACAGGAATCAAGACAGTGGACACCCTGAGGCAGACTCCCAAGACTCCATCACTGCTTGACAATATTTGTCTTATACGCCATCCAGTTTGTGATGTTTTGGTAAAACACCCCTAGGAAAATGTAGGTCTCTATGAAGGCAAAGACGGCAAGACTTCGTCTCACACACTTGGACTTATTCTCAGGAGAGACAAGTCCCTGGAGAAAGACACCATGCTTGGTCAAGTGGAGGAACAAGAGGAAAGTCCTCGACAAGATGGAGGTTTCAACAGCGACCTCAAGCAGAAGAATAATTGTGAAGATGCTGTAGGCCCAGCAGTGTTTCATTTTGCTGTACATAAAGTCGCTATGAGTTGGAACTGACTGGATGGTACCTAACAACAAAACAGCTACTGTCGAGTGTGCAAACACCAGCTGTGTCTAAACCATCAAGAAC